TTCGTTACCTGGTCCCTCTGTTACCTATAAAATTCTATACTGTATAACAGATTCGCTCTTTTGCTTATTTTCGATCCCCTAATGTAAATAAATGAGCTATTTGTTCAACGCAGTGATGGGTGGTGTTAGTTGAGTCAATCACTGGTGGCAGCTGCTCAAACTGCCTACTTCACCCTTGGGAGCTAATTGTTCTGAATGCTCTTATCGAGGTGTTAGCGGTGACTGGAACAGCTAGAATTCACTTTAGACGGGGTTCCATCAAGTAGTAGTATCAAAATAATGTGCTATCTCACTTTCTCAATGAAAATAGAATCGCTTTTGATGGTACTTGGACCTCCACGGCACTGCTTACACCGACAATGCACTTTTTTGAAATTGAATTGCGTGTTAGTAGGTAGGGGAACTAACCATTTTGCGGTATTTTTCACGTAAGCCTAATATACGATGACTGCTCATTCATTATGCGGAAACACTCATCCATCGCGGATTGTGCTAAAGTTAGTATGTAGCAATGTACCTGCAATACACCAGTGGTACGAATTTCAGTAGTAGTTATTAAATTCTGCTCAAAAAGGAGATCGCCAACAACTCCTAATCGTTGTCAGATTGCTAGCCCTCTGATTTGAGAATAATAGGAACCTGATCATTTGAAGATGTTAGAACCTGAATTTTCCTTGATGAGAGTTAGAGTGATGTGCATCCTTCCAAGTCTACTCTCAATACTTTTACCATCCATATCCATCATTTCGGATAATGAATGTGAACCTCATGGCAGAGGCGTAAAGCAGACGACAACGAACCATGCCAAAATTTCAAATTGAGAAAGCTAAGGGCTACGAGATACCGCCAAAGTTGTTCTCTAAATCGCTTCACCTAAAAGTGATCGGTCACTCTTGGCGCTCCCTACTTTGACGCTTCAGCACCTCAATACAGAGCATTACATTGGAGCTTGAGTTGGGAGAACTCTGCTGCTACTTCGCCAATATATATTAGATCGACAAAATCGCCTACAACAATTCGAATCGGCAAATGTCCAAGATATTGGAAGAAAGCATATTGACACCACCCTACGCTCCCGGGCAACAACAACTCGCTGACGTATGCAAACAGCCTAGCTAGATTCATCGTTCTAGGCAACACTCACCTTTCTCCATTGCGTCTAACTTTCTCAGCCTCGGGACATCTGCATAAAACATTAATGATGTAACGTTGGAAGGTTGGTGGTTGATTGTGGAAGCGACGAAAACAACAAGAAAGCGTCGCAAATCAGATATGTCTTCTACCAGTACCATTTCGCGTACTTTCTACAAAAATTTGGGCCTATCCTTGATGTATTTGTCAAGATACAAATGTTATCTTCTGGACTATTTAATGGTCTTAAATTCACACAAGCGTCACCACGTTAGTAATTAGACATTTGACCAATGGCAACAGTTCAGAGAAGTACGCGAGCCAAGAACAAATGGTACAATAAGTATCACTATCAGTGAAAAGAGTGACGAATTCTTGTCTCACAATCACCATATTGTGAAATATCAGAGCTCCGCCTGAGGGACATTGACATACCGCAATGTAAGCATCTCAGCTACACTCCCTCTTTTAGGTATACTTGAGATATTTAGATGAGGGGAGGCAACGATTCTTATGGAACTTCTTTCCTTGGACTGAAGCTTGATTCTCCAAGTGGTTTAGTGTTCTTCAGCCGGTTGAAGACCATACAAAGTTGCCTAACGACTTGTTGTCAACGTCAGGGGACAGTTACAAAATGAGACCAAGATTATAGGCTGGCGTAGGCGAACCAAACTGAACGCGAATTCGTATTCCGTGATTCTTGAACTGCAGCGATTCACCAAATTTCCTCTCACCTAACCAACATGAACCAGCTCCTTGATCAGTCATCACGTGACTTGCGTTTTGAGCCAGCTTGCCTGATAGAGTCATTTGACGTCACGTTGCATTGCAGCTATGTTGAAAATAAACAGGCTCCTCTCATGGACATGATGTTGGTCAAGTTGGAAGAAAAAACCTCGCTCCGGGTAACAGACAATTCACAAAGGTTTACTCGAATCAAGGATTGTCGTTCAAACAAAAATCCTTAGACTAGGACTTTAATAAGATTAAGTCGTCGATGTGTTTTGTGCGGTGACTGTCGCCTCTAGAAACATCTAATCTTCTAAAGAAAGCTGGCTAAAAAACGCTGGGATTTGACCTGGGATTCGATCCAGAGACCATGCGCGCGGCAGTGGCCCCTCCTGTCACCACACCATCTCCGCTCGAATGACATTTTTGAAATTCAAACTGGTAATTCAACTGTTATTCAACAAACACACATTTTTCACGTTTCATTCGTGGAGCAAGCCGATGCCCGATGCCACCATTCATGGGAAGAATTGCATGTGAAGGGCCGGAATCAGTCGTAGCACAGAAGCCGCAATGTCCTCTAGGTGGCTTCCGCGATAAAATGCTCACATCTTTCATCGTTCGATTGCTTATGTTGCATCTAATGCAGTAGTCGTGGAACCAATGATAGAAGTTTTATTAGTGTGAGACAAAAATTAGGTTTTCTGAACTGCGCGCAGTGTTCAGTGACCTGCTGCAGGGGTTGCTTTATTTGTTGTTTACGGTAACTCTCCATGAACTGTAACGATTTGATGTCAGAGTAAGAATAATAAAGTACGTATTGTGTTTTCTACCATCAAGCGATCTCTCCCATCTCAATGATATGTGCCGAAACTGTAGTAGTGACTTTGGACTACGGAAGTGTGCACATATGTATCAAACGTAGTCAAAAGGTAGTCAACGGTCAATAGGGGCTACATTCAGCTAGCGCATCAAGCGAATACATGGACGACATATAGCGGTCCTTTTACAGTTATGGTGTCGTTAAAGGAATCTTTCACGGAAAAAGCTCCGCCCTCATTACCACAGAAAACGATACCTTAAAGGAATCTTCCACGGAAAGAGTGATCATTTTGTCTTGTGTGTAGGATTAGTATTATCGAAACTAACGCTTATGTTCCGTTCTTTTTGCTATGCTCATGAGGCTAGGGGCCTAAGGGGTATCGTTTTTCTGTGGTAATGGAGGCGGAGCTTTTTCCGCGGAAGATTCCTTTAATACGCTTATGCGCTGTTCGGTTGTCCATTTATTGAGGAAACAGCTCGCGATGTTGCACGACCGGCAAGAGGTCGTTTGTATAGGCACAAACTAATTTTGGTTGTTCATTGTTGAAATTCAAAATGCTTCCAAGGCTTTCCTAGGCAAAATTTTTTGTCCCGTGGGCCAGTATCGTGCACTCATATTGAAATCCTTACTATTTGCTTATACCCTGTTATACTAACAATGTCAATGCACTACTGCGCCGACTACCAGTTTGGTGGCAAACTGTTCTACCGGTTTCCCCTATGTATGTTGAGTAAATGTCCCCCAATGTCATTCAGGTATATGACACCAGCTGAGGCACAATCTTAAAAGCGATGTGAAGGTCGAAGCGTCAACAGAGATAAAGTTTTCAACAGCAAACCTCATGGCAGAGGCGTAAAGCAGACGACAACGAGCCATGCCAAAATTTCAAATTGAGAAAGCTAAGGGTCTGCTACGAAATACCGCCAAAGTTGTTCTCTAAATCGCTTCACCTAAAAGTGATCGTCACTCTTGCGCCCTACTTTGCTTTAGCACCTCAATACAGAGCATTACATGGGGCTTGAGTTGGGAGAGCTCTGCTGCTACTTCGCCAATATATAGTAAATCGACAAAATCGCCTACAACAATTCGAATCGGCAAATGTTCAAGATATTGGAAGAAGCATCTACGAAGCACCACCCTACCGGCAACAAAACTCGCGGACACGGCAAAACAGCTAGAGTCATCGCTCTAGGTAACGACAAATGGTTGCAATAAGATATCAGCTATTAGCGAAAAGAGCTGAAGTATTTGTCGTTCTCCATCACATCACCATATCGGCGCATATCAGCATCTCCGCCTGGAGAACATGGACATACCGCAATGTAAGCATCAGCTATACCCTCTCCTCTAAGTATAGGTGAGATATTCAGATAAGGAGAGGCAATTTCCTTATGGATCATTTTCCCTTAGGCTGAGGCTTGATTCTCCAAGTGGTTTAGTGTTCTTCAGCCTGTTGAACACCATACAAAGTTGCGTAACGACTTGTTGTCAACGTCAGGGGACAGTTACAAAATGAGACAAATTATAGACTGCGTAGGCGAACCAAAGCTGACCGAATTCCGCGATTCTTGAACTGCACGGAAGGCCAGCGATTCAGCAAATTCCTCTCACCTGACCAACATGAACCAGTTCCTTGATCAGTGACTTGCGTTTTGAGTCAGCTTGCCAGGTAGAGT